GTAAATTTATTTTTTCTAAGGTCATGATGTTGAAATTTGAAATTAATATTTCCTATCATTAACTTTGTTTGCAAATAATCATCTGCTAATAATGATTTGTACTTTGACATTACGTACTTCTTTCTAAAAAATGTTCTTTCACATTGGTAAGTGCTCCATGCATTTCATTTGATAAATTTTGATTTGATTTTAATTGGTCGTATTTATCTTCCGAAAGAATTGGGTTAGATCCATTTCTTTAAACATCATTTTTAGCATATCATCATTTTGAAGATCAACCATTTCCAACTGAAGGTTTGATGGTGGCTCCCCAGTTGTACAGTGAAATATGCAAATGTATATTTGTATGTACAACTGCACTTACATCAAGACCCATAAAACATTGTTGAAACTGAAATTTAAATTAAAAAAATACATATTTGTACCAAGATTTTTTTGAGAGGGGGAGAGAGATTTCACTAGTCTTTGAGAATTTTACAGCATGGAAAAGGATCAGATTTGTTTAATGTGATTTTTGTTTTGAATAATGCAAATTTTTTGGCAATAATACAATCCTTTTCAAAAAATAAGCAACAGCGGCAAATTTACAAAGCAAAATTTACAAATGTAAATTTTAAAGCAAATTTACATTTGCTTTAAAATTTTAAAACAATAAAAATAAATTTTAAAAGAGCTTGAAACTCAAATTAAACAACAATTTAAAAGAAACTTAAGTTTTATTCCTCTATTGTTCCATTGAATGTGCTAGCAGCAAGATACGATATTTTACATCAACATTTGGTTTCCCATGTTATTTTGACTTGCAGAAAAAAAGACTGAGCTTATCTCTAGCAACTTAAATTCAGGTATAAGGGCTTTTTAAAGCCAAACGTTTTACATTTCTCAAGAATACATTCAAAAATATTTTCTTTCAGCTGCTGTAAAGAAAGAAATAATTCCATTAAGTTGGAGACTGCAGACAGTTATATGTAGTTTTTTTATTCAAGATATTATTTATTTTTACTTTTCATACAGTTTGAAATTCCACCCAAATAACATAAATAAAATTTTAAATTGATTTGCTTTAAAATCCTACTACTTCTACTTCATTTCAATGATTTTTCACTTGATTTCATATCTTTTAGAATACGATCTGCTTCGGTTATTTGTCGTTACAATTCTCTAACGGAGTTAATTCTTGATGTTCATCACGTATCCGCGTTACTTACCATCAAAAGAATAATATTGTTACAAGAATAATACATTTAAAGATGACTAAATCCAGAGCAATCAATTAATTTAACAGTGACGCTGCCACGTGTATCTTTCTGTAGAAAATTGTTTGGCTTGTGCTGCCCTGTAACAGAAAATATCACATATTTTAATAAGAGTTATAGTTTCTTTACATAAAATTTGCACTAATACGTGTAACAATTAGTTTATGAACGGCTCAAAATGTATGACAAATTTTAATTTACGCAAACAATCCTATGTAGAACGTAGCATGAACGTAGCATGCTTGACCTTGAAACTGCTAAAATTATCTTAGAATGTTTCCATCGCTGGTTCGAATTCTGTTAAGTGAAATGAATTCTATAGCCCTCTCACTTTCCGTTTCTTCACCAGTGACACAGATCTACAAATAATTTCTTTCAATATGTTAAGCAAAACTTGCAACTTTCATGTTAAGCGAAACATGACTGCAAAACTTGATTGTGAAGTCTTGTTAGTAACTGTTAAGTAATAAGTTTTATTCTTTTGGTTTTTCCATTAATGTTCGAGTCCGTAAGTGGTCGAGTATAGGCAAGCTTGTCTTGGTACCGTTCATGGCTAATGAGTTGACTGCAAATGGCCAATAGATCGGTCTCACGCGTATCTTCAATACAAGACCAGTGCCTATGGTATATCCTGCACAAAAGCATTCCTCCTAAAACAGGTAACCCGGCATACTTTACTGTTACGATTAATCAAAGAATTGGTAATCTAGTATAATATTCTTACATCTTTTATCAATCAAATGAAATTTGATTGCAAAAAAGTCTTATTTGAGACTTGATAATTAATATTAATAAAATGATGTTATTTTAATTATAATTTAATACATATTGATGTCTTTGATGTGTGAAAGATAACAAGCATAATTTTTATAAAAAAAATTTATGGCTTTTCATTAGCTAATTTAGACCCTTTTCTAATTATTCAGTTGAAACAAGTGCCTCACTTGCCTCATCCTGCTCCTGGCTCTGATATTGTCGCTTAGAACGATTAATAACACCTAAACGCTTAGAATATGTTTTCGAATGTTTACTTTTCGTACGATAACGTATATTGCTTATAATGCTTATAACGCATATAACGCTTATAACTTATCCTAAAAAAAAGCAACAAAAAATTTCCGTATTTAATCTTTCGTGGGGTATTCACCTATCACATCTTTGATGTTGTACACGAACATGTATTTAGCCGATACCTTCAGATGAATTTTCAATGATAAATTTGTAGTAACATTTCTTTTCATGTGCCTGCCTTTAAGCAAAAGATTTTTTTTTTTTTTTTTTTTTTTTCCGATTTCGATCCGATTCCTTTCACGTAGTCTGTCGCTTTGGCCACGCAAGCTTTCGCATTCAATTTTAAATGTTTTGGGACGTTATAAGCTTTCCTTTGTGATTTTCTGTTGGTCAAACGTAAACCCTACTCCAGGATTACTTTGAAATTCTCGAACTTACACTGATGGAAAGAATTGAAAGTTCTGAAGGAAGAAGAAATCCTTTCGAAATCATGATAACGTGAAAGGCAAGTTGACGTATGGATAAGCTAGTGAAATCACTTAATTTAGAACAGTATCCAGATAGTTTGCTGAAGATAGTCAGATTTGTTTACGTATAAGCAAAGCTGTAACCTGATGTCGAAGATAAACTGGGTGGCATCTTTAAATCGCTGGAATACAAAGAATGCAAAACAGTGTTGGCTGAATATTTCAACATTAGCTTCGATTCTTTGGAAGGAAGGCAATTCTCTACAGAACTTCAACCCATAAACTTCAAATTGCGGCCGTATCCAAAACATTATGGAGGAAATAGAATGGTAGTAGTAGCAGCGGTAATAATAATAATAATAATAACAATAACAACAACAATAATAATAATAATAATAATAATAATAATAATAATAATAATAATAATAAAAGTCAAATAGGAGTGAATCGAAGAGCAGATTAAGAAATTCAAAAAATCTGATGTGTACACACATGACTTGTACGGAATATTAAATTATACGCATTTTTTCCTGCATTTTATTTAAACTTACTGAAGTGAATTAAATCTACTTCGTCGATAGCGCATAAACCACAATATAATAAATGCGCTTTTTAAAATTCACTATACTTATTTACTATAGCGAGACTCTGGCGCTAAGTTCACTTAACAGCATTACTCGTCATTTATTTTATAACTCAGAATGCCAAAAAATTGCATCATCTGAAGAATTATCTCATCGTTTCCACATGTTCTATTCAAATACTATAATAAATCTAAAACGATGTATAAAAAAAATGAAACAAATAAAACATATACAGTTTTTCACACACGATTCAGCGCTGCTTACCTAATGCGCATACGTTACTCGTAAACATTCTCCTCTGTCCGAAACAGACTGGCGACAGTATTTTCTGCTAACATGAAACATTTATTTCCTCGAATTTCATTAGAGGTGTATTTTTCATTCAATTAATTCAGTTCTCACTTCGCGGCAGGACAAATATAATGAAAACAAAAATATCTTAATTAAAAATTTAAAGATATAGAAAAATATAAAATACCAAATACAGTTAAAAAATTTTAAAAAAGAAAAATTTTGCAATTAAAATTTCAGTTCCTAAGAAAAAACATGCAATTAAGCGAGCGTGCAAGAAGAGATACTTTTCGGTGCACAAAACTGAAAGTTTACTTTTGGTCTTTGGTTGTTGTGGATGCTATGCTGAGTCAATATATGGATAATGTAATAACTTAAATGATAATTCTAGGATGGATTAAGCATAATTTAATTGGCGATAATAAAAGAAGATGTTACTTTGTTGTTGCGAAGCTTAGTTTCTCAAGATTGACAACGAATCCATTATTCTGCTAAGTTTCAAATGTAAACAAATATGGCTGCTATGGCAAAAAATAGGCTTAGCCGCACTTAAACAACTTTTTAATTGTTGATAATTCTACAACTATAACAACATAATTGAATCATCTTTAAAGCAAAAAATGCACAGTTTACAAGCATATAAGAATAAAGAAACTGAGCTCACTGAGCCGAGTAACAGAGTGGATATATATATATATATATATATATATATATTATATACATTTGGTGTGGTCGAGTGCAATCAAAATAGGAGGTGCACATCTACATGTTATAGCAGTCCTATACACAAAATTTCAACTTTCTGAAGCTATTCGTTTTTGAGAAATGCGAGATACACACATACATACGTACATACGTACAAAAAGACGCCACGAAAAAATGTCTTCAGAATCCAATTTAAATCAGTTTTATAATTTTTTTGGAGAAAAAGAGTCCTTTAGTCTGCCCTTACCTACAAATGTCACGGAAAAACATTGTTAAATTGCATTCGATAGCGGTCAAAATGGATATTTTCGTTGAAATGTGATGCCCGAAATTTTTCTTCCTTTTTACTTCGTACAAAGAAGTAAAAAGAGCGTAAAATAGCTTTTGATAAAATTTAAAACTTTTCAACTCCCACCCAAAATTAGTTTTTGAACTACTATAATTTTATGATGTGTGGAATTATGAATTAGCACTATTTGTTTAAAAGGGTTCAAATATTCAAAGCTTATAAACTTAAGAACATTTTAGGAAAATTTACTTATATATATTTTACATTTTAAGCCATTAAAAATCTCCTCCTGTTATATTTTCATGTAAGATGAATTCTTATTTGTATTAATAGCGATTAATTTTAATTTTCTTTTTTTTTTTTTTTTTTTTTTTTTTTTTTATTTATTTATATATAGGAAAGAAAATTGATTTCAAAGCGTGAATCTACTTGAAGAAAGAGAATTAAAGCTCATTTCTTTTCTTCAGGTAAGCTGTGTTAGTTTGGCACAATGAATATAACTTAATTTCATGAAATGTTGGGAATATTACTTTCCGTGTAAGAATTAAGTGCGATTTTATCTTAATTCTAATATAAAATGGGAAACTAAATTCGTAATAGCTTCCTTCTTACCAAAATGCTACGATAACAACACTTCGAGATAAGTTAAATCAGAGTGGGAAATCTATGAACTTTATCCGCAAGTATTCCTTAATCTCTTAAATCCACCAAATCTTTTGAAATTTTTGCCAGGGGGATTCTACTTAATCTTTGACTTGGTATGTGTGAGAGAAAGAAAATAGAATGCACTGAGTGAGTTAGATCAGAGGTGGCTAATTAAGGACCCATGAGGTCTTTTTCCACGGCTCCTGGAAATTCATTATTATTACTGAACACGGAATTTTTGACATCTGAATATTATTATATATTTTTTCTGACAGCATGACCTGCAGATAGTTAAATGCACTATTCAAAATTACATAAAAAATGTATCTACATATAAGTGAATATTACGTATAAGGATTTTTATCAGTATAGCAAGCTGCACGAGACTAGAGAGGAATACTAAATATTACTCTTTCCTAATAGGCAAAAGTGTTAACGTAGAAGAAAATATCTGAAAATCCCCGACCTGCATTGCCCCTTTTTCCCTTACACTTTTCTTAAGATTGTGCATCTTGCATGTTTTCAGCATGCTTAAATACTGAAAAACTAAATTTTAAAAGTTTGGTCACAAAATTCCCTTAGTGATCTCTACACATGAGCAGGTATAATAGATAATATCTTGAAATTTTGAAATGACTCGTTAAATTAGATTTAACTTAAGTAAGTGTGTAAAATTATAATTTTCTGTTACGTGCTTTGGCGCCACAAGAGGCTATGCGGTTGAAGATTTTTAAATGCTGGTAATTTGTTCTGTGTTGGAGCCCGGGAAAACTGGTTCATTGCATGATTGGTTTTTGCAGTTTTCGTCCTGCTCAATATGAATGTGAACCTACTTTCTTTAGAAAGCCCTCTACGAAGGCATTTCTCTCCATAGGAAGATAGCCTTGGAGTGCTTTGCCATGTTCAAATAATAAAACCAAATCAAACTGTTATGCCCTTTGCTTACAATTTGGCTTCGAATTTATTAGTAGACTTTCTCTCAAGTGTATGATCATATCGCTTTGATACTACTTGGCATTCTTTAAAACTCAAAACTGATTAGGAAAGTTAATTTAGTGTCAATATCCATACTAACTTAAAATGTTTATTGTTTCTATTTCCAGGATATATTTCCATATTTTTTTATTTACAGGATATATTTGTAAGTAATCATTAAACAAAATACCTCTTTATTTTGAACATTTATCTTATGTTCAAAAGATAGCCATTTCTATTTTACAAAATGAATAAGCAAAAAAATAAACGTTAAAGGTTTAAATAATTAAATTAATCAATGAATTATTAATATGCAAGTTGAAATGCAATTCATTCGGTGATTTTAACGATTATTAATTTCGTTTTTAATAAATTTATTCATTGTTTTATTATTTTTATTTAAATATATATTTATGTTTTTATTCTTTTTATTATTTAACTTCCTAACGAATAATATTACACGCATTTTCTTGCCGTTTGCATCTTATCTTTTCACATTATTTAGAAAACCCAGTAACGAAGAAGTAAAAACTTTCATTCTAGGAATCTAGTTAAAAGACATTTTCCTTAGAGAATCCATTATTTAGTACAATAGCCAGAAAAAAATTGAGCTTAGTAGTAATAAAACATGCTTTTTCAATACACTACTAATGAAAATTATATACGGATCGATTTTAAAAAAAAAAGTTCAAAAATACCAAATACTACGTTTTAATGTGTTTCACTAAACAATAAAAAGCAGTTTTTAAAATAAAGTACTGGCCTGTCCTGTGAAAATATGGATAATAAATTAACACGCTCATCTCAAATTCGAATTTAATTTAATGATGGACGAAAACACGAGAGGCAAAAAGACGCTAAAGATGATCGAACTATTGCATGACTTCAGTGTTTTTCATTGTTTCAGTTTATAGCCAACCGGAAAAATCCCGAACACCTCTAAACTTCCTTTTCCTCGCATTTCTGCCACCCCCTAAAACAGTGTCCCTGGAAACTCCCTTCTAATGACAAGAGCTACCGACCCGAAAAAAATCCCCCCAACACTCCCTCTTTCCTTTTGGCAGATGTTGGAGACGGGGAGAGCTAAACCTACAATTGTCTCTTCCCGTAATTTCAACTGCGTAATCTGTAGACCCCTCGCACAATTTTCTGCAAACAAAAAGCGTAATATATACATAGACAGGCGACGAAAAAAGGTCCCTTCTTTGTGTTTTTCAAAAACAATCTTCTTCCTATTTTTTTATTCGGTTCTTTTTAACAGACGGAAACTTTTCTGCGGTCATGACACATAGATTGCTTTTGTTGAGCTAGTTTCACCTTTAATGACCAGAGCCGCTGTGCGGTCGCTTGACCGGATACATAGAAGTTACCCTGTAGTTAGGGTTAGCTATTCCAGTTCCTGATGACCTGTACCGTTTCCTGATTCGAAAGCATTCCCTGTAATATCCGATCCGAGGAATTTAAAATTGGCAACCAAAGATCGTCAGAGGGTAAGTATGCATAATAATAAGAACTGGTCTGCTCTATCTGTTCTAGGTTATACAAACAAAAGATAATATAGTGCAGGCGCACTCTTAAATCAGCGGTAATATGGAATAACAAATTAGGTGTTCAAGAGTTCTTTCATGTTCTTAAAATCAACACATATATCAAGAATTTCTCTACCATAGAGGTGTCAAAATTGTTTTTATTTCGTTACTGATGACCAAGAACTTCCACAGGGTAGACTGCTTTTAGATTAATTCAGGCTGAGTAATTTATAAAGTTCTACAAAATTTTCTTCTACAGATATAAAGAAAATATATTTTATTTACATCTGCTGAACTAATTGCAGACTTCAAATAGATTAAATGATACTTCTCTTTGCTGTTCATTTTTGCACCTTTGATTTAAATATTGGTTAGAATCGCAAATTATTCTCTTTCGTGTTTCAAAGAAAGTTTTATATTATTTACTTACTTATTAATTTCTTACACACCTGATTGTTTGCGACATATTTCAGTACAATTTCCATGTTCCAATGTCACAATTTTTCAAAAGCTGCGTTAATGCAGTTCTTCAAAAAATAAGTACAGTTGCTTGAACCATTGATGATTCTATTCACTAAAGCTTGGGAAGCAAAATCTGGGTTCAAGTTCCGCTTTCTATTTTGACAATTCGGCATCATCTAATTTGTCGTTTACCCTGTAATTAATGAGCCTTACTCCTAACAAAAGCTATGAAAAATGAGATCTCACTATCAAAGTTGTCCATAAACAACTGAGAAAATATTATTTTAGGAAAATTACGAACAGTGGATTGATTGCTTGAATAAATGTACATTCGACGTAAACAGGATAATGTTGAAAAGTGTTGAACAATTAAACTTTAAAAAAAAAGGAAAAAAAATGATCAACTGTTTAAATTATTTCTATGAAATTAATGGTCTTTTAAATTTTTCCCATTATTGTTATCTATTTCCCATCTTAGATAAAATCTCGAAATATTGTTAAGTTAATGCAATTTCAAAATTGTTCAACTCTATAGAGTTGCTATCTATACACTAGAAAATTGCATAAGACACATTTAGCATTGATTATATGGATAACCTTCAAATCCTGACAGAAAATTTAAACTCTAAATAGCCTTTTATCCAAGTATAGGTTAATGCATTTCCAAGAAAAAATGTTCTACATTTAATCAAAGTTCTGATAGATATTTGACCTTCCAGTTTGTAAATAGAGTGAAATTATTTTTCAAAGTATTTTGCTATAGATGCACTGTTAGTAATTTAAAGTTAATATTATCATCATCGGAGGATTTAATCAAAAACTAGTAAATATATTTAGTTTCTTAAACTCCTCCAGTAATTTTTGATTGAGTTAATTTTTTTCAAAGTTGAAATAATTTTTCTATAATTTGATTATTTTTTCATAAATATCCCTTTACTATTATTCTGTTATTTATTATATATATCAACGCAATGCAGTAATTTATTTTAGCACTTAAAAAACTGAATTGATATTTACTAAACAAAAAATATGGCTTTTCTTAAAAGCTTTTAGAATTTCCCCTTCCCCCGATAATTGAAATTATTCTGATATTTACAACTGACGACATTGGCAATTTCAAAATTAAATTTAATGAATTTATATTTAAACCGATTTCTTTACTATACCTTTCATAGTCAATGAATAAATAAAAAATATATAATTAAATGTTGTGTTGAATGGTGTTTGTTCATTGAAGGATTAGGATTAAATTGGTATGCGAAATATAAAATATAATGTTTTCACATTTGTTTAATCTCGAACACGTCTTGGTTTGATATTACATACACATATAACACTTATACACGCATATATAATACTTATACATATAGTATGTAAGGCCATTTCAACGAAAACTCAGTTTTTAGTTTTTGGAAAAACTTAATGCATGATACTTTTACATATAAAGATGTCTTATATTTGGGCCAAGTGTTGTAATCGTTATATCTCAGGAAGATGGGAATTTTAATTTCGGCTCTCTTTGTGAAATGACGTATAACAATCTATTTAGTTTTCAATAAATATATATTTTGATATTACTGTATCCTAATTTGACTATTATTTCAGTTATTTCCTAGGCCGCATGTATAATATGCAATATGCATGCGTACGTAAACTGCGAAAAAAAAAATGAGACAGTTGTATATCTCCCGTTCTACTCGGCTTATTGACGAAATTCAACTTGCGTTTTTCACGTCTCGAAAGCGCGACATAGGATATATATTAGATTTATATTTAACATTGTTCTAACTTAGGTATTTTGACACAAAATCGAACTTTTTCTGACGTAACATATCAAATTTTTTTCTATATTTCGA